GTAGTCTGCTCAAAATTTCATATTTTTTTTTTAGACTAAAATACATATTAGTTACTAAGCTTGATAAATTATAGTGGAATTCTATGGTATTGATGTAGTAATTTATGATTTTTTAGTTATTCAAAAGTATATATAAAACCTAGAAAACATTTTTTGTTTAATATTCTCCATGTGCAATTTTTTTTTTAAAGACTTAGCAACCTACGTCAAGCAGCAACTGCATACAAAGGTTGTAACTAGAAGAGATACTTGTTTGCTTTACTTCTTTATTTACTGTTCTATATTTTTAAAGAAAAATAAGTTTAAGAACTTATTTCAAAATAGCAATGATCTATATATACTTATATAATGTATGATAATTGAAATGTGACTGTATTTTACAAAATACTAGTCGAGTAAAACACAGCCAAGGCAGGTCACTTTGTAAAGACCAAAGGTCAGTTTTATGTTATTGGATACGGTAACATGAGTGCATATGTTCCACGTCATTGTAACTTCTGTATTATTAGCCAGGCACAGCTGGAAGGTCAATAAAATAAAAAATAATGAATATAGATATAAATGTACAGTGTTATGAGATTTAAGCTATTTAGTCCAAACATTTATGTTTTCGTGTTATAATTTGTGTTCATTCTTGAATTATATTTATTTCCTAATTTATTGGTCATCAAGTTTCGTGCAGAGTGATCAGCTCCTTCCTTTTGGGCTGATTGTCTCTATGCTTATAATCTCTCCTTTACCCTGGGGCAATTGAAGCTTGCTTTGGCAGTACATCAGTCGAACCCAATGACATTCACAATGAGATGTTGTGCCGTCTCTCTTATTCCTCTCCTTCTGGTTGTCTTTAACTCTTCCAACACAGAGTTGATCAATTTGACTGACTCACATGACCTTTTGTACTCGTTTAAAGTTGATATAAATTTAATACTTATAACTTTCTCTATATATATTGGGTATATCGTCATGAAATTTGGCAGTCTTTGAGTTAATATTAGAAGTCTTTCACATACAAAATATCATATTTTTTAGTGAACTATTTATAATAAAATAAAATAAAGTTTTGTTTATGAATATATTTAGTATCTGTTTTCAATAGTCCGTGTGCAAAGTAATTTTCATGTTAAAATTAAAGATACTTTTTGTCATCTCAAAAATCTCAAATTTCCTTTGTGTAATCCTTAAAACCTTCTAAATGTATTTCAAACGTTTTTTTTTTTTCACTAAATCCTTATAATTTATATGTTATTTTCTATACCCTATTTCAAAACCGGATTGGTCCATTCGACCAACCTCGTAACTACCCAAAAAAAATCTAAATAAACCTAAATTAGCCTTCTTTTATTTCTAAAGTGACCTCAAATTGTAACCCGAAACTACGTTCATTTATACTAAGTAGCTTTAAGCTTGTAACAATATACGTCTATATGTAATTATATTTTATTGTTTTATTGCCCTTTGAACCATGCCTAACTGCTATCCCTGCCATTAAAAGTTGTAAATCACTCGGGGAACCTGCAGCTCACGTTATGCTATCGAATTACATTATCCACAAGCTGCTCTTTTTTTTTCTTGCCCTCAATTGTTGAGGAGAGTTAAGCCTGATTTTCTTAGTGATTATAGTAAAGCACTTAGCAATTTTTATTTAATTGTATAATACACCAAAGAATATAGACTAATAACATGCAAAAAGTAGACAAATTCACTTACTTCTAAAAATCTTCCTGGTTTTCTAACTATGTGACAAAAGCCATTACAAATTCATCCAAGCTAGTCATTAACTTCTCACGGGAACGATGTTGCTACTCCGAGTGAAATTGACGTTTATCTATTCAGAACACAATGTTAAACAATACTCCATTTGATAGATGAAAACCTTGACTTCCTATTGGTTATAGGTAATATATATATATATATATATATAATGAAACGTAAGAGAGAACTATCAACGAATTGTGAAAGAGAGGGTGTGGCAGGAGGGGGTCTGATTTTCTATTCAATAGCTTTGTAAATAAAAAATATTGAAGGTTATAAAAATTATGGTCTGTTTGAGTAATAACGATTTTATAGAGAGTATTTTACGTTTAATTTCGTACATTTTCGAGGGGTGATGGATAAAATAGGGATGATGACATGTTAAGACAAAATGTGTCGTGTGTTACACTGGTAGAAATTCAGGATTTTTTATATGTTCCCTTTTAGAATTAAGAATGTAAAACTTGTATACTATTAAAATATGGATTATTAGCTAATATTTTATGCTATTCTAATTGGTATAACATAAACAAAAATTAGTTTAATAAAATTTTGAACGTAAGACACTAAAACCTTGTGTCATGTGCAGTAAAGGGTACCCGGGGCAATAGGGTTAAGCTATTATTTAGTTTATTTAGTGATTTAATATTCAATGATTATTTAGTTTTCATAACAAGAGTGTTATAGGTATGATAAGTTTTGTTACATAACTTTGTACAAATCGTAAGTTGTGTATGCAATTTAATTCTTGTACCAGGCTTTTGTAATATTGTTGACGTCATCTTTCTTCAAGCTTCTAAGTTTTTCTCATTGTGTGTAATATTGTTGTCACTAGAGGACTTTTGTAATATTGTTAAGTTATCTCACTTGAAGTTATTTTCCTAAACTGAAAATGTATTTCCAAACATACTTACCTCCGCTGACACTAATATTTATTTCTCGATCTTCATCTTTGCCATCTAATGTTGTGTTTGCTTACTCTAGTTTTTACTTATCTTTATAAGTTCCAGCTTTTTCCATTAATTGAATATTATCATAAGTATTACCTAAAATTTGTTTTATTTTATTCATCAGTTAAATATAGAGTAAAATATTTGTTGTTTTTTAAATACTTTGAATAAACTAGAAGTTAAACCAGGAACATGTGACAACATTACACATTCCTTTTAATCATAACTAGGTTTTAAGGTAATACCTTGTTCCATTATTATCACATTAGTGAATTTCTTAGCTGCTCCATCTACAATAGTTGGGTTAAATCTTTTTTCCGCTACTATATATTTCATTAGTAACAACTCATTTTTTAAGTCCTCTTATTTTGTACATATCTTCAAAAATCTATGAACATAAGCACAAAATGCAGACATTTTTTGTGTTTCAGTATGACCTGCCCAGTCATTCTCCAAGCAGGGTTGATTACAACACTAGCAGGTATAAGTAGAGGTAGGCAGTTACATAAATCTCACGAAAATGTAGGCTTAAAAACAATATATGACCAAAGAAGTGTGATTTTTACATTTCCATATATAGATCTTCTTCAAGAATTGTGCAGGTTTATTAGATCACTACTTTAAGGATAACTGATGGTCCATAACCATTTTTACTGGTCCCAGACCAGAGGTCTAGCATTGTCTTTGCATAATGTACAGTAAACTTAATATTACTGATTAACCCTTAAGAAAAAAACCCACACTTATAAATGGTCATGTCTGAACATATGCAAGTGATTACAGAAATGCTTTTAAAGGAACTGACATATAAATGTTCATTTAACATAAATCTGATTCATAATAAATAAGCTGTTATTTACTGAATAAAAGTAACAGAACCTGCAACTTTATTTTCTATTGTCACATGCTGCTTGCTCTTACACTAAATCAGGTGGTTTACATTGATAATAAACATTTACTTTATCAACTGTGACAAGGACACTGTTAGACACTGCCTAACAAATTCTAAGAAAATTCTTATCATCTTAAGTTTTAGATTGTTGAGTTATTACATTAAGTATTTATAGATATATAGTATTGGCTTAATTATAAGCTAAATTTTAGTTTAGAACTATGCAGTTAACTTATTTGTGATTGGAAATTTTTAATAACATTATCACCCTTTGAAAACAGGAAAAAAATACAGATCTTTTGCCATACCTGAATCTTCTACTAGATATGCAAAAGACACAAGCACTCCAAATTCAACTTTTTCCTGGTATCCTGGCACAGACAGTAAGGTCCTACCTGGAAGTTCAAACTTGTCCACCTGTAGGAGTATTTATTACGTAAATATATTTTTCATAAACATTTACAGAATTCCTAACTTTACAATTATTATCTTCATTAACATTTAAATATCATACCGATTGAACATAAAATAAAAAAATTAGGATACATAACTCAAAATCTAACACCCTTATTAAAACTTTAAACTAAAATTAAAACTTTAATTTTTTTAAGGACAAACTCAAGAACTAAAAAATGTTCTTTTTTTTCTGGAGATAGGATATCTTTGAAAAAACATTAATAGAAGTTATTCTAAAGCTTGCAATTTTGGGAACTGTATCATCACCAATTCCAGACATGAACAAAATATTTAAAATGGAAATAAATAAATTTTTTACTAAATTACATGCAGTTTCTACCTCGAATAGGTTATGCTACATGAAATGCAAACCTCAATATCAGATATTGCAGACCGAAGTGTGCAAGACCAATTCACAAGACGATAACTACGATAGATAAGTCCTTCATCATGCAAACGAACAAATGCTTCAGTAACTGCTCTACACATTTTCTGAAAAGATTAAATGAATTAATAATTTTGTTCTTATGATAACTTATAACAAAATTGTTTTTCCTTAATGTAAACAAAGTAATGTTAAAACATTTTGGCTTTGTTTTTTCTAAGCCAATTGTCAAAAAGTAAAACGTAAGTATATCCATATACATGTCACCCATATAAGACTGTACTGTATATATTACATTTGAGTTTTTCTCCATGAGGGATTACATAGATAATATTAAAATAATCTGAAGCTCTAAACTTTTGAAGTCACTTCAAAAGCTAACAGTTTGATTACATAATTTTTGGTAAGATAAATCTTAAAATAAAAAAAATTGTATCATTGAGTTTCCTCTGTGTGTGTTTATCACTGTGTGTATAACTGAATTTTCTCTTCAATCCCCTTCTTTCCATAGCTACAAGTGTTGTTAGTTTCATAATCAAGGAAGAACAAATCAGAGAAGGAAATCCATTATAATAGTTTTACACTATCATTTACCTTAACCTTTTCTAGATGGGTTACAGGTGAAAGGCCATGTCATTGCATTTGTTGACTCACATTCAAAATTTTATTGAACTACTATTTCATGAATTTATGTCAATAAGTTTGGTATCAAACTGTAGATTATAATTGAAATTTTAGTATTATATCTTACTCAATTTCTTAATTCAAAAGAAAATATTAAAAAACATCGATTTTGTGTGTCACATGGTATGTTGAATGCAGCACTGGTTCAAATTAAATGTTTATGATGTCAAAATACTAAGTCTGTAGTTTTAAAAGAATTATGAATTCAAACTACCAATATTTACAAGCTAGAATATAAAATAAGAGCCTCTTATCCTTTCAATTTGCCAAGATATTGCTCATGTAATAAACCAAACCCCCACCCACCTCTTTCCATTTAGGGAAACACTCCATTATATATATACACTTACTTCTACATATGATATAAATAACCAATTGGAAGCTCAGAATGTGCCCCTAGTGGCTTTCTCAGCCATTTTAATGTGTTTGGATGCCATCTCTTTCTTTAGAACCAAGATTTCGATAAGGTAGGTTGTGTCTTTAGTCCGCTCAAAATGTCGTATTTTTTAGACTGAAATACACCTTAGTTACTAAGCTTGATAAATTATAGTGGAATTTTATGGTATTGATATAGTAATTTATAATTTTTTGGTTATTCAACTGTATATATAAAACCTAAAAAAAATTATTTTGTTTCATATCTTCCACTTGCAAAATTTTTAAAGGCTTAGCAATTTAAGTTAAGCAGCAACCAAGTATAAAGGTTGTAACTAGAATTGTTTGCTTTACTTCTTTATTTACTGTTCTATGTTTTAAGAAAAATGAGTTTAAGAACTTGTTTCAAGATAGCAATAATCTGTATATATATATAATCTTATTATTACAATTTTGACTATTTTACAAAATACTAGTCTACTAAAACACAGCCAAGACAGGTCACTTTGTAAGGACTAAAGGTCAGTTTTATATTATTGGATACAGTAACATGAGTGTACGTGTGTGGCATCATTGTAACTTCTGTATTGTTAGCCAGGCATGGCTAAAAGGTCAATATAATAAAAATAATAAATATATATAAATGAATAATGTTATGAGATTTAAACTATCTAGTCTAAACATTTATGTTTTCGTGTTATAATTTGTAGTCATATGAATGAAAATGGCATAATTTATATTTATTACCTAATGCACAAGCCAGGGAAGTGGGTAGATACTCTTCTGGTGCTGGCTTTTTCTATTATGGTCCATGGAAGGTACAGTATGGAATGGATAATGAAGAAGGAAAGATATATCACATTAGTGCAGAAAACCTTATCTCAACTGTGGGAAATTTGGAGCCAGGGCGGATGGGTCTTATGCTTCCTGTTTACCCTGACTCAATATGGATTTAATGAAGTATACCCCATGAGGCAGCACTCACCACAGGGTGGTTTCCATAAAGTGAATCATAGAAGAGTAGAAATTGATAAGGAAGTAAAATAGGCATTTATCCATCAAAGATGGTGAGAATACTATTGGAAGTAAGTGAAACTGCCAAATGGTGGAGGAAACAGGAGACAAAGGTGTTGAGCATAGTTCACATTGCAGCCTGGAGGATCTTGTCCAAGGGTTTTCAAAAGTGCGAAGCCAGAGAATGAGTCAAGAGACAGATTTGATATGATGAGGCATGATACAGTCTGCAATCTCAATCTAAAGATAAATATACAATCTAGATGAGTTGACAAATCCATTTGACAAACACTGAGGATAAGAAATTCCTGGAAGAAGAGGGGGGGTTTCTGGCAAGAATAAACTATTGCAAGATCCATGAATTGGAGCTGTGCAAGACAAGTAACACCTGACTGCTTGAACTGAACACAAAAGACAATCACAATCTGTATTATCACAGAGAGCTGAGAACAATAAAAGAGAAATGTGAGAGAAGGAATGATCATTCTCCTGAGCCAACCAAATCTTATGAAGAAATGAGTGGTCAGGGAAAAATATCTGTAAAAGATCTGTGAAACAAAGTAGAGGAGGCATCAACTTCTTAAAGAACAGTTTTGCAATGACCACAAGCAAGAAGAAGGAAATAGGTTTTGAGAGAGAGAGAGAGGGTATAATGAGGGAAATGACCAATGGTTCAAATGAAGGCTGGTTAAGAGTATGTAGAACCACATTAACTCTATGCAATGGTTATATGGTGGTATACATAGTACAACTCTAAAAGTACTTAATGTATCTTAAGGAAAATTGGCAAGCTTTTAGTAAACATTAAAAGTCTTTTGTAATAAAAAAAATCAGAATTTCTAATTAAGTATTTTTACTAAAACTATGTTCATAATTACATGGTGTCAGAGCGCTGACTGCTCTGAGTGCAAAGTAACTTTCAAGTTAAGATTAAAAACACTTTTCTTCATCTGTATAATCCCTAAACCTCTTAAATAAATATAAACTGTTTTTCTGCAGAAATATTTTATATTTTATCTCTTATTTTCTATACTACAACTCTATATTGTGTTGGTCAATTGAACTGACCTCATAACCACCATAAAAAATTAGGAAATAAATATAAATTATAATTATCCTTTGTTCTTTCTGGGATAACTGCAAATTGTATCAGAAAGCAATTGGTTATCCTAAATAGAGTAAAACTTGTAACAGTATACATTTATTTATACTTAATTTTATTGTTTTATTGCACTTTGAACTGTGTTTTAACTAATAATTCTGTCACACAAGTTGTAAACACTCGGCAAATGTGCAGTTCATGTTCACATATCGAATTACGTAATACATGAGCATACCTATGAAAGGATTTTTATTATTACTTTCATTATCTTACTTAATCTAACCTTATAACTTTCTAATTTGTACATTTTAGTTACTTTTATAATAAAGGATACACATGATAAACAAGAGATATACTTGCCTGGATCTTTTTTTTTGCTGTTTATGGAACTTAAGTCTAATTTTTTTTATACTAATGGTACTACTACATTAAATATTTTTTATTTAATTAAATAATACACCTAAGAACACAGCATAATAACACAAAAAGCAGACAATGTTCTATATCAATCATAATTTGTCTGGCTTTCTAACTATGCAACAAGAGCTGTTAAAAATTAAGCTAAGCTCCTCAATGTGTTTCACACGGGAATAAGCTTTGAACTGGAAGTCAAACAGACAATTCTCTATAAAGAAAACAATGTTGTATAATACATCTGATAGATTAAACTTTGGCTTTCTATTGGTTATAAATAATACAGCATTAAACATCAGAGAGAGTTACTAGCAATTTGTGAATGAGAGGATATTACATGTGGGTCCAATTTTCTACTTTATGGCTCCATAAACAAATAAGATTGAAAGCTATGAAAAAATTTGTTTTGTTTGAGTAATAACTATATTATAATGAGTAATTTACATTAAATTCCATATTTCTGGGAAGAGTGGTAAATAAACTAGGGAAGAGGGGAGAAAATGTGTCAATATGGATATGTATGTCTGGAGAAGGGGGAAATCCAAGATATCTTCAGCATAAGAGTCATGTGGTAAAGAATGGGAAGAATCAAAAGGTATGTGAAAGAGAAAGCAAAGAACAAACATGAGAAATCAAATCTGTGGAAATTTGAAGGAGAAACATTGTCCTCTATGTGTAAAGGACATCCTAGTGCAAAGTCAGGAGGTGTAATGAGCCTAAAAAATTTTCATCCTCATGGTCAGGTTCAGAAAGGGGGGAAAGAGTTATATGCAGAAAGCTAAGGATATTGTTTTGGAAGCCATGTCCATCATATCATATAATAATGATTTCCTTAACCCTAAGACCACTAAGCCAACCACCTTACAGAGTATTTTCACTGCCAGGGTCAATATGCACTTCCTTGATGTAATATGATGCAAGGAACAAAATATCCATGTTGAACACTACTCAGTTTCAATGAAAACATATTTTAAAAAAAAGCTTCTTGTAAACTAAGACCTACTTTTGTATTTTCTTCACAATTAGATATTATACAAAGAGTACACGCATTGGTACTAATTCTTGTCAAGGGTATTCAGGCTTTCCAGCAAGAAGAAAATTATTCGGGTTACCTAAGTAGAAGTTTAATGATATCTGGGAGCGTTTGCAAAAAAACATGTTAGAGAAGGTTAGAGAAATATTAAGTTTAATGTAGTGACTCACACTAATATAACAGCAAAATATATTCTGAAGTAAAGCACCTGTGAATAGTAAATAAAATTATTAAAACGTATTTACTATATTGACACCATGCATCTTTTTTTTATACCTGACAAGCTGAAATACCCATCAACTGATGGGGAATGTTTAAACTTAATTAAAACAACACAAGTTTAACAGCTATCATATATTTCAAAATAATAACTTTTAAAATTATAACAAAGCTTCTTCATAAACAACATTTGCAGTTTGCTTTCCATTTAACAAGAAATAAAGATTTTGAGGTGATCCCACCATATAGATAGATAGATAAGACCA